CCCCCCCCTCTCGACCCGAGCACCCACACCCACACCCACAGCCACCCAGCGTCCCGCCCCAGCCAGCCACACAAGCTTGCGTCTTGATGCATCTCTCAGCTCAGCCAGCTAGGGGTTGAGGTCCAGCAACAGCGGCTCTTTCAGCCTCTCGTCGTCCTTGGCTTTGTCTTTCTCTTTTGTCTCCTTATTGACCTTCTCCTTCGCTTGTGCGTCTTTCTCCTCCTTCTTATCGCCCAGCACCAGCAGCCTCTCGAGGAGCTTCACCTTGCCATAGCTGATCGGTGACGCATGGTGGCCCGTCAACACCTTGTCGAAACTCCAACTCGCCAACCGCTGCAGCAACCGCTTGTTGGCACCCCGGGGGCTGGCCAGCACTCGGGAGACCATCAGCGGGATGCCCATGCTACTCTCCTCTGTGAAGCCAAACCACATGCTGCAGAGGCCGCCGAAGGGGTTGATCCGCGGCCGCGGAGGAAAGAGGGAGGGGCTCTTGGGGGGCGGGGTGGGGAGCTCTTCGGTCGTGACCTTGGAGGGGCCCTTCTCGGCGCACAGGTCCGTGGCAATGAGGGTCCGGGATGGCTTGTGAAAGAAAACTGCACACACCCAGGAGCATGGGGGCGGAGACAGGCATGCATATCAACAAGTGCATCGCATCTATCATGTTCTGCGGACACACCTACCTAGTTCTTTGAAGTACTCCCCATCGAGGACAGCGACCTCCATGGCGCTGCCCCACTCGGGCGGCACCTCGTCAGACAGCCACCGATCCACCTCCACCTTGCTCCTGTGCAGATCCCCGGGCGCCAAGACCTCCGCCTCAAACTCTTTGGCGAAGTCAGCCGCAAAGGCGGTGTGCTCAAACCCGGTATTCGACACGACGATGTACTTGACAACGCCTGGGAGGGAGGCGATCTGCCGGAGACACTCCTTTGTGGGGGCGGGGGGATTGATGACCACCAGGAACTCCTGCGCCCTTGGGGGGCTGATGCGGACGACGGTGGCGCGGTGATCGATGGGGTTGCCGGCCACGACGAGAGGCTGGGTGAGGGTGTAGACGTTGTCGGCGTGCTGCTCAAGCACCGTGGGGCGCTCCGTGAAGGGCGCCACGGACGACCTGAAGGCATTAACAGATAGATCAACCAACAGAGAGAGAAAGAGAGCAATCATCCGCTGTCTGTCTGGTGCTCAGCTCACAGGTAGTATCTATCTTCGTCAACAGGCCGTATATTCCGGATGTACTGCAGCGTCGCCGCCTCAAAGAAATTGCGAAACGGCGAAGCGACGATCGCGTCCAACGCCTTGGACACCTCCTCGTAGACCCGCCTCACGTTGGTCCCCTCCCCAGCCATCGTCGACAGCACCCTGTCCAGCATGCTCGTGACCGCCTGGACGAACTGCGGCCCTCTGACCACCTCCCAGAGAGTCACCACCCTTCCCCCCGCATCACGCAGTAGCCCCCCGACCTCGCTCATCTCAGTGGCCTCGAGAGTGGACGCCAGGGCGGAGAAACCCTCCATCGTCACGGATGTGGCCATGTCCAGCGACGCGAGAGCCGACACGACTGCAGCCACGCTGCCGCCCACGAGAAAGGCGCCCGTGAGCTTGCCTCGTATCTGGTTCCGCCGCTCTCTCTCCTGTGGCTCGAGCTCGTCTGCAAAGGCTGGCTGCGGCAAGCCAACCCTTTCTGACGGCTCCATGACGTCGGTTTGTTTCTTGAGAGGGGTGGTCCTCATCGGCGACGGGGGCTGTGACTGTGGTTGTGATGATGGCTGAGATTGTGACTCTGATGACGCTGATGACGCTTTTGCTGGCGGGATGGCGGCCCTGTCCGTGCCGCCAGCCGGCTTGGACACGCCCCCGAAGCTCTCGATGATGGGCCAGATGTCGGTGGCCCCCCTGTCGTCATTGATAGCAGAAGTGGTGGTCGATGAAGAAACATTGACGTCACTCCCCCTCTCCCTGTCGGTCTTGCGGTAGCCAAGAACAGAGTGCTGCCGCTGCGGCCGTGGTCGTCCATGGCTGCTGCTGCCAGCAGCAATGCGCCGTACTAATGGCCGCGGCCGTGCCGACGCTGCTGCTGCTGCTGCTGATGGTGACCTCCGCGCGTTGAAAGGAGCGTTATTTGCGATAGATGGCGGGAGCCGGAAGGCATCGACGTTGCTGAGAGGGAAAGAGGTGAGGAAGAAGGAGAGGAGCATTGGCATGGGTGATAGGGATGGCAAGGCGGACGTCAACCACATGTACTTATGCCTCCCCTCGCTCTACTGGCCGCGGCAGGGCGAGGCGTGGCTCGTTTCGAAGGTTGCTTTGCAGTCCTCGAGGAGGGAGGCTGAGCAGATGGATCAGGAAACAGAGAAAGGTCGTCCTTCACCGGCGCCAAAGACCTGCAGCAGCTCGCAGTTGCCAGCGATCGGTGAGGGAGGCCTTATTGGAGCCCTCTGCCGTGCCTTTTTTGTTATCGTAGAGCCTTGACGTGCACGGGCCGCCGTCCTCCCGGCCTCCCTCTCTCTCAGTAGCGATTTGACCACCGCCCGGCATGCCGACCCTCGCCGACGCCCCATCGTACGGCGCTGCCGTGCAGCATGCAGCCGAGATGAAGGCCACCCACCTGACCACCCTCCTGTCGAGCGACGACCGCAACTCGCAACTCGCCGCTGAGTTCCAGGGTGGGTCTGGGGCAGCACACACAACACAAGCGGAGAGAGAGAGGGATGGGGGATGAGGGACGGTGTGTGTCGCGAGGCGAGGCGCATGCGGTTCTGTGGGTGTGGCTGTGTGTCTGTGTTGGTGCCTGCACATCTGCAGGCATCTTTTTGGACTACTGCCGTCAGAAGGTTGCCCCCGAGACGATGCGGCTGCTGCTGCAGCTGGCGGAGGAGATGGGCCTGGCCAACAAGATCAAGGCCATGTTTGCGGGTCAGAAGATCAACGTCACCGAGAACCGGGCCGTCCTGCACGTGGCCCTCCGCGCCAGGCCCGACCAGGTCATCGAGGTTGACGGCAAGAACGTCGTCCCGGAGGTGCATGCCGTCCTCTCGCGGATGAAGAAATTCGCACACCAGATACGCACCGGTCGGTCGCTCAGGGAGGGAGAAGCGAGTGGAGTGAGATCACGACAAACAACGGCAAAGGACGGACGGGCGTGATGGTGTCTGTCGTTGTGGGTGTGTGTGGTGTGGTGTGGTTGGTCTGTCTGTCTGTCAGGAGAGTGGGTTGGTTACACCGGCAAGCCGCTGAAGGACGTGATTTGCATCGGCATCGGGGGGTCCTACCTGGGCCCTGAGTTTGTGTACGAGGGGCTGCGCACCGACCCCGAGGCACACACCGCATCGCATGGACGCAGACTCAGGTGGGGTGAGGTGGGGTGAGGGAGGTGAGGGATGGGCCGGACAGACAGACAGGCAGACAGTCAATAGTGGGCCCATGCCTGTCTGTGTCTGTGTGTGTGTGTGTGTGTGTGTGCAGGTTTCTGGCCAACGTAGATCCCATTGACGTGAAGCGTGCTCTCGAGGGGTTCCACGCCGAGACCACTCTGGTGAGAAAGAAGAGCAGCCAGAGAGAGATGGACCGCCTGTGTGTGGGTGTGTGCTGTGCATCGTCCACCTGTCTGTCTGTCTGTCTGCCACTGATTCGTTCTCTGATTCGAATGTTCAGATCATCATCATCTCCAAGACGTTCACGACTGCCGAGACGATGCTCAACGCCCGGACCATCAAGGAGTGGCTACTCCGGAGCCTGCACAACGAGGCTGCCGTCTGTAAGCCTGCCTGCCTGCCTGCCTGCAGGACCAACACACACCACACACCACACACAGACAGACACAATATGGTTGTATGCGGCCTATGTGCTGTGCTGTTGTGTGACATCTGCAGCGCGCCACATGGTTGCCGTCAGCACCAACATCTCGGAAACTTCGGCATTCGGTCAGTATAACACACACACACACATACAAACACACACACACACACACTCACACAGAGTTACCAAAGTGTGTGTGTGGTGTGTGTGAAGGCATCAACCCGGACAACGTGTTTGGTTTTTGGGACTGGGTGGGCGGCCGTTTCTCCGTCTGCTCGGCCGTGGGCATCCTCCCGCTGGCCGTCCACTTCGGCTGGCAGGTCATCTCACAGTTCCTCCAGGGTCAGTCAGTCAGCAGTCAGATCGCCACACCCATGGCATGCAGCTCGCATGGCTTGTTGCTCTCTGCGTGTGTGTGGTGTGGCGAAGGTGCGAATGCGATGGACGACCACTTCAAGACGGCGGCCTTCTCGGAGAACCTGCCGGTGCTGATGGGGCTGGTGTCCGTGTGGAACGCCTCGTTTCTCGACTACCCCTGCCACGCCATCCTCCCCTACTGCCAGGCCCTCATCAGGTTCCCCTCACACACGCACTCACACACACACACACTCTCTCTCTCTCTCTGTGTGTGTGTGTGTGTGGGTTTAGGTTTGCGGCTCACATTCAGCAGGTGACGATGGAGAGCAACGGCAAGCGCGTGAGCATCGACTGCATCGAGCTGCCCTACCAGTGCGGAGAAATCGACTTCGGCGAGCCGGGAACCAACGGACAGCACAGGTAACATAAACACACACATACACATAAAGGCACACGACAGACAGACACATTGGATGCCTCTCTCGATGCTATGTGGTTGTGGTGTTTGTGTGTGTGTGTGTGTGTGTGTGTGTAGTTTCTACCAGCTGCTGCATCAGGGCCGCACGGTGCCGGCCGACTTCATCGGGTTCTGCCGCTCACAAAACCCTGTTATCGTGGCGGTATGTGTGTGTGTGTGTGTTTGTGTGTGCATATGTGTGCATGTGTGTGTGTGTGTCTGTCCATCCATCAGAACGACCCGGTGCCCAACCACGACGAGTTGATGTCCAACTTCTTCGCACAGCCCGACGCACTCGCATTCGGTCAGGGAGCATACAGCACCCAGACAGACGGACGTGTCGTCATTGTCGTCACTCACCTCACTCACGGTTCGTTCGTGTGCGGTTTCCCTGTTGGTGTGTGGATCAAACAAATCAGGCAAGAGTGCTGATTTGGTCGCGGCCGAGGGCGTGCCGCCCGAGTTGGTGCCGCACAAGACGTTCCCGGGAGACAAACCCTCACTCAGGTGAGTACCTGAGTGAGACGGCTAGTCAGTCGGTGTGGTGTGTGGCGGGGCTGCCTGTCATCTCTCTCTCTCCCTCGCTCTCTCTCTCCTTGGTGTGTGTCTGTCCTGTCCTGTTGTGTGTAGTTTGCTGTTCCCCGAGGCCAACGCGTATTACCTGGGGTGCCTGCTGGCGCTCTACGAGCACCGAACCGCCGTACAGGTGAGAGAGAGAAGAATAGGATAATGGCGTGGGGCCGCAGACAGAGTGCTCTCAGAGCACCAGCCATAGATACACGTATGTGATTTGTTCGTTCGTTGCTTCAGGGGTTCATGTGGAGCATCAACTCGTTCGACCAGTGGGGGTGAGCTGAGGCAGCTTGACAAGGGAGGGAGTGGCGCGTGTGATGGCATCACACGTGTGATGTGTGATGTGTGATGTGTGTGAAAGGGTTGAGTTGGGCAAGGTGTTGGCCAAGGAGATCCGCAAGTACCTCGCCGCCAAGCGAAAGGACCTACCGTAAACAAACAAGATGCACACACACACACACACACACACAAGCACACACACGAGCCATCGATGGCCTCTCTGTGCGTTAAACAAACTGTTTGTGTGCAGCGCTGAGGAGGAGAAGCTGCCGGCCGCCACGCGGCGCCTGCTCGGCGTCTACCTGAGCCAGGCATAAACACACCACACCACACCACACCCCCAGACACACACGCATTCACACGGGCTGTAGCGAGACGGGCGCAGAGGTAGCGGTTTTGACCGGCGAGCAGACAAAAGATAGAGCCAGAGCTCGTTCGTGCGTGTGGATGGATGGATGGATGGACGGACGGACGGAGGGAGGGACGGATCTAATCTAGGTGGAATGGGTGCCTAGCCTATGAGTGGATGAGTGGAATGCATGGGATGACCGGTGAGTGACGTTTTTCCATGTGTGGGTGGGTGGCTGGCTGGCTGGTTTTGTGTGCGCGGCATTCTCGTTTGCCCCTGCCAAACCTGACGCACTTTTCCTGTCTGCCTGTCTACCTGGCTGTTTGGCTACTTGGCTGTTTGGCTGTTTGTTAGTTAGCGGTGGCTGGGCCCCCCGCCCCGCTCCGCCCCGCCCTTCTCCCTCTCTCTCGTCCCCTCGTCTCTCCCCTCCACTCGTGTGCGTGTTTTGAAGCGAAGCGCACGCACAGACACAGACAGACACTTTTTTGTTTGACCGGGCCGGGCAACACCACACACAGAGGAGGAATGCAAGAAGGGCTCTCTCTCTGGTGCGTTTGTTATGGATGTGTCTTGTCTGTCTTGTGGGGGCGTCTGTCTGTCTGTGTGTGTGTGTGTGTGGTGTGGACAGACAGATGTGTTGACGCATCGATGACTGACTGCATGCCATGCGTAGGCGTGTGTGCTTTGTGTGTGCATGTCTGTGTGTGTGTGTGTGTGTGTGTGAGTGGGAGTGAGACTGCCGACCACCACCAGCATCAGCGAATGAACCGACCGACCGACTAACCCTTGGATCAGCTGTATGTATCATCTTGGTTCGCTGATCAGACAAAATGGTCTCAACACCACGTCACTCACACGGCGTGCGTCTCTTTCTGCCCGGGTTCCTCCCTCAATATCTCCATAGCAGACCTCAAGCTGATCGGATCCGTCAGCGACTCGCCGCTTCCCGATGCGATCAGAATGAGGTCTGCCATGGTGAGACGGAGCGAAAGCGAACAGGCAACGCTGGCCACTCTCTCTGTCCTCTCTCTCAGTGGTCTTTCCCGTCCCACTCCATCTCGCCATGAACAACTTCAACACGACTGCACCGGCAGGCGATTCGCCGCTTCCCAATGCAGTCTCGCTGAAATTGTCCATGCCGAGATGGAGTGCGAACCAACGAACAGACACACTCACAGGCCTGGCTGGCCACGATGCAACCAACACACAGTCATGTCATGGGTCCCTCACAGGCACCTTCGTGAAGAAATCCGTGACAGGGTCGCTCTCCCACAGCCCCTTGGCCTTCATCTCCTTGATCTTCTTCCGCCTCGTCCGCGCACTGCCGGCCAGCGGGGTGGTCTCATCGTAAAGGTAGGGCACGTCGGGCATCGAAGGGTTCTCCCACGCGTCATGACGGCTAAGCCGGGTGGGCCGCGGCTCCGGTTTGGTGGGGGGGTTGACGAGGGGCTTGGCATCGGGGTGTGTGCGGAACCATGACTTGGTGCGGAGGGCGCAGAGGTGTTTGTTCTCCTCCATGGAGCGGACGTGCTCAGTGCGGTACCGCCAGAGGTCCTCACGCAAGAGCTCCTCCCGCCGCTCGGGCAGCACGTTGATCAGCATCACGTCACGCGTCACATCGTGGGTGTACTTGATGCGACCCTGATCCGGCCGATACGATCACAACACACACGGAGGGGACAGACCAACACACACACAGATGGCATGGCCATGGCATTTCTGTGTGTGTGTGTTTGTTGGCATTCGGTGCGTACGTATGCGGCCGAGACGAGCGAAGTGTTTTTGGTGACGATGACGTTCTCGCCCGGGTAGGTCTTGAAGTGCCGGTGGCGCGTCGGGGTCGGGTTGAAGGCGATGATCTTGCGGTGCCACGCCTGCACACACAACACACACACACACACACGCCCTGCCTCTCTGCACACACACACACGCTCTCTGCCCTCCCCTCCGTCGCCCACCAGCATTTTGCCGGGGTATGCGAATTCGGCCGAGAGGGTCTTGACGCCGATCTTTGCGTAGTACTGCTGCCCGACGTCCTTGTGATTGGCCGACGCATCCCGGTGGTACGACTGCGTCTTGGTCATCTTGGTCCGCTGCAAAGCAAAGCAAAACACAAATAGGACAGAGAATTGTTTTTTCAGCAACACAGCACGACAGATCAGATGGGCGTGTGTTACTCCCTTTGTCTGCCGTGTGTTGTGTGTGTGCGGCATCTCTCAGCTCAACATACCGTCAAGATGAGACTGTGGCGCTGCCAAGTCGTCGAGGGGCCGGGACATGCTGAGGATGCCTCGGCGCAGCTGGACGCAAGTCCGCTGCTACCGAGGCGGCACAAAGCCCTCATTTCGGGGGGAAAGGGCGAAGATCTCAAAGCTCGCCACCGTCTGCGAGCTGAGCGCACGAATAAGGAGAAGGAGAAGCAGCCCTTGCGCAGCGCAGAGCATCTTGTGGCTGTGGTCCGCAAACGCCCCAATCAGTTCGTGCTGTCCACTTTTATCGTCATCGAGGCGAGGAATCCTCCTGCAGGATGGCGTCATCATCAGACAGGATGGCGTCCAAGGGCGTGAGCAAGAAGAAGGTCGGCGACTACATCCTCGACATTCGGATCGGCAAGGGCTCCTTCGCCGCCGTCTGGAAGGGACACAAACAGAACACCGGCGAGACCGTCGCCGTCAAGGTCATCTCCAGGCAAATGATGAACGAGACGGCACAGCTCAACCAGGAGGTGGCGGTGCTCAAACACCTCGACCACAAAAACATCGTCAAGTTCAGAGATCTCAAGGTGGGTCAGTCAAGCACACACCCACACACACACACAGAGGTTGGGTGGGTGGATGGCATCTATGTGTGAGGTGCGTGTGTTGTGTGTGCAGAAGAGTGCGGGTCACTTTTATCTGATTTTGGAGTACTGCGGTGGCGGTGACCTCTACAAGTTCATCAAGAACCACGGCAAGGTGCCCGAAAAGGTCGCAAGGAACTTCCTCCAGCAACTAGGTGAGTGAATGAGTAAGTGAGGGACGGACGGACCAAGTGACCAACACCTACCCTACCCACCACACGCACACACATCCCATGTTTGTCTGCCTGTCTGTCCACTCATTCAGCGTGTGGGCTGGAGGTTCTCCACCGCCAGAACTTCATCCACCGCGACCTGAAGCCGCAGAATATCCTGCTGACGGAGGCGTCCTACTACGCCACCCTCAAGATTGCCGACTTCGGCTTCGCGAGAGCGCTGCAGCCACAGGACCTGGCGTCCACTGTGTGCGGCTCGCCGCTCTACATGGCTCCCGAGGTGCTGCGGTATGAGCCTTACGACGTCAAGGCCGACCTATGGTGAGTGAGTGGGCTGAAGAGAAGACAAGCCGATATGATGTATCTCTTGGGGGTGGTTCCTGGCCTGGGGCTGCATTGTGTATTGGCTGGCTGATCTCTTTTGTTTGTGCAGGTCAGTGGGGACCATTCTGTTCGAGCTGCTGTACGGCGTGCCGCCCTTCACCGGCAGCAACCCCCTGGAGCTGCTCAAGAACATCGAGCAGGCCAGGGGGCCCTCATTTCCACAACAGACGGCCATCAGCCCAGAGTAAACAACCTAGCTACACATCCATCCCCACTGCGCCATTAATGCATTTCCTTGACGTGTGTGTATCGTGCTTCGTTCGTCATGAGTGAGTGCAGGTGCCGCAACCTGCTGATGCGGCTGCTGACTGTCGATCCCCGTCAGCGCATCGGGTCAGCCGAGTTCCTCAGCCACCCCTTCGTCGGACACACACCCTCCCTCTCGCCCCTGCCCCTCACACCCTCCCCAATCCCCACTCCGCAGCAGCCACCCTCACCCCCACTTGCCGCACCGCCACCAGCAGCAGCAGCTGCAGCTGCAGCAGCGGATTTGTCCTCTCTGCCAGACCAGCCGGCACCGAGCAACGCTGCAGTGACGGGTGCTGACGTCCTGCGGCAAATTGCGCTGGACGATGAGTGTCGCAAGCGGCTGCGCGAGTCGGGCGGGCCTTGTCTGTTCAGCGTCAAGGACCCCGCCGCTCTCGACGAGGATGAGATCGAGATGCTGCCCAAGATGAAGCGGGACTACAGTAGCAACGCGGCCTCACCCACGTCTGTGGCTGTGGTTGTGGTGGAGGGCAGAGTGCCGAGCGACCCGCTGCCGCCCGTGAGCGATGCTGGCTTGGCTTTGGATCGGTCACCGTCAGCCTCGCCGAGCCCGTCGAGCTCGCCGTCGCCGCCGATGAGCCGTCATGATGCGGCCACCCGCATTAACAACGAGGAGAGGCCATCTGCTGCTGCTGCTGCTGCTGAGGAGGAGGAGCAGGCACAAGCTACCCCTCCCCTGCGAGAGGAGTCGCCCCCCCTGTGGCAGCATCGCGACGAGCACATGGCGCCCCCGGCCAAGGAGCAGAAGCCGTCCGACTCGTGGGTGTCGGCGCTCTCCCTCTCGCCCGACATCCCCCCTCACGCCACCCCGCAGGCCGCCACCTCGCCCCTCTTCCCCGTCTCCCGTGAGCTCTCATCCACATCAGCCTTTGAGAAAGACCGGTCCTCAGGCCCTACTGTGCCATCGGGCTCCTCGTCGGCCTCCCCGCAGTCCGACCGCGCGGCTCATGGCGATGCGGCCATGGGTCAGGCTTTGGATGACCTGAGGAGGAGTCCCGGGTTCGGTGCGATCGACGAGTTCACTTTGTCGCCGAGTGGGTCGCCGGCATCGCCACCCGCGGCTGTGAGGACCAACGGCGGCTACCTGGCTGGGGGAAATTATGGCAACGGCGGTCAGCCTGCGGGGGAGCGGTCCTCCCCGCCGGCCTTCTTCTGCGCTGATGATGCTTCCAGCTCCGCACAGACGGAGCTCAGGGTGAGAGGAGAGGACACTGTAAAAGGAGAGGCTCTCTCCTCATCTGGACTTTGCCGTTGTTTGTGTGCATGGTATGTGTGTGTGTCAGGTCGGCGGTTCGCCAACCCGGTCGGCCGACCCCAGCCAGCCCCCCTCTCCTCCCTCATCCGACGGCCGGGGCGTCGTGGCGCAGCCACAGGCGCGGCCCTCATCGCCCCCCGCATCACCCAATACAGTCCTCTCACGCCCGCCGACGACCGACACGCCAGCCGACACCGGCAGTGACCCCTCGCGCACATTCACCGCCCAGTCTGACATCGACATCATTGCGTCCTCGCCAGGCGAAGGCGTCGACAGCACCTCGCCCGACGGGTCTGGGGGCGCTGTCGGCGACCGATATGACGATTCTGACTACATACTGGTGACGGAGGTGAGCCCTGTGCAGCCGCTGATGGGCGGCGACCACATCGACTCGTTGCTGGGGAGGAGCCTCTTCGACGGAGGCCTGTCGGCCACCATGACCTCCTCACCCACCGCAGTGTCGTCCTACGCCTGGGACGGCGAACGCAGCGGCGCGTGGGGCGGCAGTGTGCCCGCCTATGTGCAGAATCTGTTGGTCGTCGCGGGGACTCTCGGCCACCTGGCGAGGCAGCGGGCTGCTGGCGGCCGGGGCAGGGCGGGTGAGGCGTTGGGTCTGGTGCTGTATGGGCTGCAGCTGATCGAGAAGGCCATGAGGGTGACCAGTGAGGCGTCGGCACAGTCGGAGCTGCGCCACTCGTTCACGACTCTTCTGGACCTCGCGACCACGTGCGCCAGCCAGCTGCAGCGCGACATCGCGACACAGAACCTCCCCCCACGCATCCCGTCGCCCCCCTCCCCTGCCCCCTCCCAGCAGAGCAACCCGCCCCCGCCTCCACCCAGGCCGCCCTCTTCTGGCTCGTCCGTCATGCGGCCGAGCACCCCTCAGCCCCTACCCCCTGTCAAGGCGGCCACCGGTGGCGGCGACAGCATGAGCGGCCCCGACACACCTGTGGGGAGTGTGAGGTCGCATTCTCACGAGAATGAAGGCATGGCCTGGGGCACGCCGCCGACGTCTCATCGCACTTGGACGGTGTCTACTGGTGCCAGTGGTGGTGGTGGTGGTCAGAGCCGCTCGCCTCGGTTGGAGTACCAGAGGGGTGAGGGTGATGAGAGGGAGGAGGGCAGCACAGCGGTGGTTGTGGGTGTGGGCGGGGCGGACTATGCCGAGGGCGTCGATACCATGGTGGCGGCGCCGTACGGCATCCTCTACGAACACGCCCTCAAACAGGTACAAACCAACACAGACAGACAGACAGACAGGGCGGCCATACAATGGATGCCATTGGCGCTTCTCCGTGTCTTTGTCTCTCCGTGCGTCCAGGCGAGTGGTGCGGGTGTGGATTTATCTCTGGGTTACCGTGAGTCGTGTCTCGAGAAGCTCAAGGTGGCCAAGCTGCTGCTGGACCTCCTGGCCTCCGAGGCCGAGGGCGATGACTCCGTCCACCTCAAGAGCTACTCCAAGCCTATCAACGACTTCATCGCACAAGTATGCAAGTCACATTTGCGCACAATCTGTGGACGTGTGTGTGTGTGGGTGGGTGTCGGTGTGGGTGTGGGTGTGTGTGCAGTGCTCTCGTCTGTCGCCGGCTGACCTGGACATGCTGCTGGACGAGGGCACGCCTCTTCGATCGCACTCATACGATGACGCCAAAGACGGCAGTGGGGGTGGGGGTGGTTGTGGGGGGGTGGTGGGTGTGGTCGGTGGTGGACAGTATAGTGAGATGGTCGTCAGGCAGACACATTCGGACCACTTTTTTGCTGCAGACAGGTCCATCTAGCCGGCCAGCCAGGTGACCGCATGAAATGAATGAGGTGGTTCGACCGGCGCGCTCTTCAGCCTCCTCCATGTTGCCCGGTGTCCGGCGGCTGGAGTGCCTTCCGCGCCTTCATTCTTCGGTCAACATGGCGGTTAATGAAGGGCGCGCCGCTCGAACCGCCTGCTGGTCGGGAAGCCGCCTATCCGTGTCAATCTCCATCGCCAGCAGCGAAAGACTTTTGGCCAGTTCGTGGAGATATATTCATGTGTGTGTTGCGTCACAGCAAAGCGTTGTCATGTCTCTGGGGTGCTGGCTGTCTGTGACGCGCAGTAGTGTCCACAACTCAGACAGTACACACACGGATACAGAAACATTCGCCCAGCATTGAAAGATACTCCTCGACAGCACACCTCGACAGCAAACCATAACACGTATCTCAGCCTATGTCTCTGATGAATGGATAATGGTCCCCAGATGGACTTACAACAGCACTAATCGCCCGCTGTGGCGTTGCAGCAAGGCTCAGCCTCTAGGCTGCGTGTTGCCTGCTAGGGTGCTTGTTGGTTGGTTATTGTGTTTAACGAGACTCGTGTCTGTAACCCCGAGGGGATCCTGTCCAGGTCACGCACTAAACTAGCAGCATGCACATGCATAGAAGCATGTACACGGCCTGTCTCTCCATCCCACCCACCCACTCACTCGACACCCATTGATGGTCAGAAAATCGCTGTCGACAACGGTTGCAGGTATATGAGAATGACAGCCAGACATAGGCAAGACACCCAGAGGCTAGTCAGAGAGCTCGACGTCGAGCGCCCACTGATCTAAGACATGCTGTTCGTACAGCAGCTCGTCGTCTTCCCCTGCCTGACTGTCTGGCAAGAATGGGTTGAGGGCAAGCCACTTAGTGCGTGTCGCCTGTGCTGACAGAAGAAAGTCGGCCGCTGCAGAAAGCACCGGCAGTTTGTCCGATTGCAGCACACAATAAGTGAACACAATTGGATGTGACCTGCGCCACAGACGATAACTAGAGGCATCAGGGGCAGTCACGCCATGCCGGCCGACAACTGTGTGCAGTGTGTCACGAAGAGAGCGATACAATGGACAGAATGCAAAAATATGAGACTCATCCTTGTTGGACAGACCAAGAGGGGACTTCGCCGTAGGGTGCTCCCTGAAACGCTGCTGCGGATCTATCGCAGGAAGAAGGAGAAGCGGACGTGCAGCTGACGCGTACAAAGCCTGGTGACAGCTGCGTGCCTGTGTGTGTGCCTCAGTTTTGATCACCTGCAAACCCCTGCTCAGGCAAGCCAACACGGGTTGCTTCTCTGCGTTGCGTCCACTCTCTCTCTCTGTGTGCGTGTGTGCGTGTGTGCGTGTGCAGATTCTTTACCATGGTCAATGTTGAACGGCTCCAAAGGGACATTGGACAAACGAGATCGTTACGTTTTTCCACATCCCACCGGGTGTCAATTTCACTATGGTGGACCTGGCGACGAGAGGGACGGTCGACCCCAGTGCTGTGAAAGACCAGGGCCGCTACTGGATTCACACCAATGGTCGAGCACAGCACACACGCAGACAAACGACATGTATCAGAAATCACTGTCCTCTGTGTGCGCGCGCACGTGTGTGTGTGTGTGTGTGTGTCGCTATAGGTGAGGCCGGCATATCGGGATTCCCGCTGTTTCAGGAGACCCCTTGCCCACGCCCGAACTACCGCATTGCCTTGCCACCGCCACCGCCTGCTGTGAGTGCTGCCGTGCCGTCAGTGGTGCTTACAGTCGACGAGAGTGACACTACTGAGGCCCAGAAGGAGCCGAGGGGATGGAGGCGGTTCTTCTGCGCGAAAAGGACGGAAAAGAACAAGAGGCAGCGGGGCTTCTTGTGGGCAGGCATCCATCGTTTGCTTGTGGCCGCTACGGAGCTGTGGATTTTTCACCTGCTTCGACGCTATCATGGCCCCAATCTGGCTCAGACGCTTCCTGACTGGGCGGTCGGTGCCATTGCCCAGATCAACGACCTGGTAGTCGTCATCTTTGTTGCGCTATTTGGCATGAGCTACTTCACCATAAGGGCTATGATGGAAGATGGAGTCAGTGTCGAGCCCTATTGCTCACAGCTGGACGTGGTTTATGGAGTGGCCAATGGTGTTGTGCTTTGGCTCCACTGGGAGTTACTCGTGAGTGCGACTCTGCTCGTCGTTGCTATGGTTGTCGCTTTGATGTTGTGATTTATTGAGTTGGTGCATTGTAGACTGGGGATGAAGAAGGCGTACCTCTTCGCTTTCAATGTGGCTGTGGCTGCGATGTGGCTGTGGGTGAGCGTCCTGTGCGCACAGAAACTGGAGAAGATCGATTGAAAAAAGTGAATTTGGCAAAGTCGATATGAATGCAATCAATCGATGGAGAAAAAGAAAGCACGCTGGCACGATCAGTGTCCACCCAGTCACTCACTCATCGACACCGCTCAACCAGCCACAGCACTCACTGACTAGCTGGGCGTGAGGGCAGACGTCTGGAGGCACACTGCACCCCGTCAGGCTCGCCACAAGTGAGCAGCAGCTTAGCAAGTTGGTTATCTGTCTGCCTGACGCGGTTGGTTATCGATGCACCAACTCCTGCAGCCCCGACCTCAGAGCCGAGACGCGTGCTCTCGACGTTGCGGCACCGCGCTGCCGGGCGACAGATGGCTGTCTCTTCTGCGTTGCTGGCACTTCACTCGAGAGGACGAGCAGGGCCGGGAACGATGGCCGAGACGCGCATCCTGGCACCGGATCGACGCCCCCAGCACTTGATCATCGTAGCTGTGTTGTCTGCAGCGGCTTTCAACAAGCGACCTCTCAAGACTTCGAGTGTCAGCCCCGTGGGCAGCGGCCTTCTTCCCCCGGCGTAGCTTCGTCATCGTCACCCCCAATTGGTCACCCCCGGCATCTACCAGCGAGTGCCGGAGCTAGTGCCGTAGCTTCAGCCATGCCCGACCCGGCTGGCGCTGACGCCCCCCCGCCCGACCGCCTGGAGGTCGTCGGTAAGGTGGCCATCGTCATCCGCGAGTGCCCCCACGCCAACGTAAGAAGACAGATGCATACAGACGCGGGACTCTATGTGATGCACACTGCATGCATGGGGGATGGGATGTACACACGTGCACGGAAGGATTTGCGCGTTGAGTTGATTGGTGCGCGATGGCATGTATTCTGTCAGACGGCGAATGAGTGGCTGTGGGGAAAGGTGTGGCGACAGGTCAAGTACATGGCATCCATGCGGTGAGCGACGACACACGCCTGTGTGTACGTGCCCGGTTTTGCACTGCGTGCGTACTATGTGTTTGCATCGCGCCTGCAGGAAATCGGTGACGCCAAAGTACATTGCCGACGCCATCACGGCGGCCATCTGCCAATTCTGCCCTGCTGGGAAGGTGTTCGACGCCTTCTGCGGCGTCGGCGGTCAGACGGTGTCGCTGGCGGCGGCGGGCCTGAAGGTGTGGGCCATCGACATCGACCAGAACAACGTGAACGACGCCCACCACAACGCCAGTGCGCACGGTGGGTGCGCACAGCGACGTAGAACGAAAGAGTGGGCGGGTCTTGTATGCATGAGGTTATCCATTTATTGTTCTCTGTCCCTCCCTGTATGTGCGCATGTACGTAGGCGTCCTAGAGCGTGTGCGCATAGCGTGTGGCGACTTCTTCGACGGTGTGGCCCGCCTCGCCAGTAAGTGGCAGCCGATCGGCAAGAAGTTCGCCGCAATGCACATCGACATGCCATGGGGCCCGGCGTACGCGACAGAGGGAGCATGCCCCCTCGACAGAATGGGAGCCGACGGGAAACTGGTACGCACAAACAAACCCAGACATAAGTCCCCACACTACTCCCTTTCAATGGCTCTCATTTTGTGCGTGGCGTCTCTATTTGGTGCGGTGCGTGCGCTTTTTGCAGAGTGCATACGAGGTGCTTGAGGTCGCGTCGCGTCTGAGCGATAGCCTTGTCTTCAAGGGCCCCCGCACGATGGCAATCAGTGACGTAGTATGTGCATGAGCCCACCCACCGCGGCGCGACAGCCATACAGCCATCATCTATGACTTGCGGTCATGTCCTGTTCGTTCATGTGTGCTTCTATCGTTGTTCTGTGTGGATCCGTGCAGGTGAAGCTGGCGTACCACTTGCAGAGTTTGAAGGCCAAGGGCGCACCGCAGAGCGAGCCGGAGATCCCTGTGCAGAGCGAGCCGGAGATCCCTGTGGCGGAGGCGTACGTGAGCCGCAACAAGACGCATATGGTGGCCGTGTACATGGGAGAGGTCGCCGCCAAGTGAGTGCATGAGACGACCGGACCCACGACGAACGAAGAAGAACGGACGCATTCATATCGAATGGTCCGTGCGTGTACTTCGCGTCTCTCTCTCTCTCTCTGTCTCTGTCTGTGTGTGTGTGTGTGCAGCTACATGGCCACTCTGCCGGCCCCGACGACCTCCCGCAATTTGACCCGCCGACTGTGGACGGTCGAGCAGTGCGTCGACGACATGCGCAGGGCGGGCAAGGCTGTGGGGCTCGGCAGGGTGGCCTTCGAGCCCCGCGCACCGTGATAGATGCGTCCACGGAGACTCACCCACGCAACGAGACGGGAGAGGTCGTACAAAGAGTAGCCAGCCATCGATAGACCAGACAGCCCACCGGATGGAGAGGGAGGGATGCAGCGTGAGAGCGGCGGACTCTCGTGCCGGCCGGCCGTGTGTGAAACGGTGTGTGTGTGTGTGTGTACGTGTGTGCGTGTGACTGACTGCGGGAGAGACAGTTGCGAGTTTTCTCAATGGCCACTTCGTACGCACGGACGTGTTGAGAGCTGGGCGGTGCGATAGGTACTTGTTAAAGCACTACACCTTTATTGCCAGCAATGGAGCTGCACAGGCGGCTAATGACGCCGTCAAGAGAGTGAGCAAAAAGCGCTGAGCATGTGACTCTAGGCACCGTGAAGGGGACTGGTCCATGTGTCGTCCATCACACACTATGAAGTAAAGGCGTCTGACATAAGCGTGTGTAACACGGATGTACAACGAAGAGACATGTGTACCAAAAGCTAATATCAGTGCTCCCATGCACGCGCGAGAGGCAACACGACTGTAATCTCATCTGGTCACGTCGCGCCGAAGATGCATCTGCGTACCTTTAGTATACCGTCCCATGCCCGTGACGGCGCTATGCACTCGTAGTCGCCCCGTCTTGCCAGCTCGCCCGGCAGCTCGCCGGGCCGGCGTAGGGGCGCTTTGTTGAGGACAGCATTGATGTCGACCATGAGCTGCTGGTGGATTTTGGACGAGCCAGAAACCGATACGCCTGTCACGCTGGCTGAGGTCTTCTGAGAGCCCTCCAGACGGCGACTAAGGACCTGAATGAATCGAACGGCAGATAGACAGAGACACCATTGGCACTGCAAGTGGAGTATGAGCAGCCCGGCCTGGTGACGGACCTGTACAAGTTTCTGCCTGTCAAAGGCCAACGGGGCGACCAGGTCTATGGTGTCGGAGATGAGAGGCAGTTTCACCTTCTCGTCGAGCACATGCTCCTGACCCAGAGACGGCGACGCGTTCACCTCTAGCAGCCAAGGCTTCAGCCGCTCGTCGATTAGGATGTCGTAGCCAAACAGCTCGAATGCGCTCCTCTGGTGAGGGATGAAGTCCTGGCAGCAGCAGAGACTCTTCAAAACGACGTCGCAGAGGCGTCTCCAGAGATCAGCCCAGTCGATCCCTCTGGCCTCAAGCCTCGTTGTCAAATCATCCAGGCTAATCTTGGTGCCGCCGAATAGCACATCGAGGGGCGGGCTGTCGATCGGCTCGTCGTGGGGCTGTGCGGTCTCGTGTTGCTTGCTGGTGGGCTGTGTGGCGTCGGGCATGTTGTGTCGCTGGATGGATGAATTGGTCAGATGGATAAAACGGTTGTGGATGTCGCGCGGGTCAGCCGAGTAGAGCACCGTGGCGATGCGGGCAAACCCCTGGTCAATGCAGAATGGCAACAGAGAGGGAGAGAGAGAGAGAGAGAGAGACGCGATATGCATGACAAGGTGGAAGCAATCGTACCCTCTTGTAGACAAATGCTTCGAGAGGCTGGAATGACGTCACAAGCACATAGACTCGGAGGTCAAATTTGAAGCCCTCCAGCAACAAGGGCCTGCGAATATACTCCTGGATGACCATCTGCTCGCCATATGTCACACCGCTCAGGTCGTTGATGATCTGAATCCCACGGCCGCGCGAGCTGCCCGCCGGCTTGAGGATCCACAGCCGGTGGTCCCTCTCCTCGTCAGGCGTCCCCGAGAAAGCCTCGACAAAAGGCACGTACTCCTTGGGCAGGGTGAAGGTGAGCGGCATGATGCGGAAGGCCTCTCCCGCCTTGCCGCCCATCTTGACATAGCGCTCGATGCACCGCTTGAGGTAGTCCTTGCGTGTAAGGTGTCTGGAGTGGGGGTAATGGTTGACCTTCTGCCATTGTAGGAGACGAGAGTAGTCGACGCGCGGACGGCCCCACGTCCACAGGAGGTTCCAGCACGGGCCAAGCCCCAGCCCGTGAGGCAGCTCCTCCCAGCCATCCTTCTGATGCAACGCCCTAAGAAAGAGAGAGAGAGACATGTTGTAAGTGGGACACGGACAGGAGTGGCAGAGAATGTATGCGCGAATTCTGCCAAGATACCTTGTGACAATATCGTACACCTCCGTGCGATGCTGGACCACGCGATAATACCTCAAAGAGTACACCGACAGCGGCTTCTCTTCTCTTTGTCGGTCTTTCTCCATCTGCTGCCGCACGGCACTCGCTACCAAGTCATCTTCCCTCGACAACAGCCGCTCCAGTGTGGCGTAGCCAAGCGGCTTGCGGTCAGTGTCCTTGTCAGTGCCGTTCGCAGGAGGGCGGTCGATGGGCTGCAGGATGCCCCTGAGAAAAAGACCGTAGAGGCCAGTGGATGACGAGGGGCCTGGCAGAGCCTGCAGGCAAGTCTGCAACGCGGCTCGCATCTCGGCTCTCTTGTCGCGCTGCGAATCTGCACGACCTGAGGAATCGTCCTGACACGAAAAGACAGAGAAGAGAAAGAAAGCAATGTGTCTGTCGTCTGGATTGAAACGCGTTTAGGCTAATTGTTCACCTGGAATCGGTCTAAATGGACCTGCAGGGGCTGCATGACCTCACAGAAGTGCTTGAACAGGTGCATCGTCTCCCGCAACACCCACTCCTTCCGCGAAGCGTCCGCACAGCACAGAATGTCAGATATCGACCGGTATTCATTCGAGTAGTCCACCAGTACGCTGCTGGGCGAGATGCCCATCCAGTCGATCGCCAGAGGATTCAAGGCGGGACGGGCACTGGTGGGCCGGGTCCTCGGGGCCTTGGCTGTGGCGTGTGCCGCCATCCGTTTCCTCCGGGGGTTGGTGTTCCCCTCCGGAAGAGCCGCCTCGGTGCGTTCCTTGCCATCCTTGTCATCGTATTTCTCTTGTTGAGCAGCATCATCATTCTTGGCTGGTGGTAGGGTGACAATTTCGACCTTCGTCCCGCCTTCTGCTGTCTCATGTGGGGGGTCTGATGCATCGGGCGATGCCTGTGGGGGTCTCGGCTCGAGAGTAGGGGTGGGATAGCTTGGCTTGTCGAGCTCCGCACTATCATCATCGTCAACGCAGCAAGACGGGACATCCTCCGAGGCAGATACAGTTGGCTCGGGCTTTGTCCGTCTCGGTGTCTCCTTGTGTTGTTGTTCTCTTTCGCCGCGCTGTCCCCTCAGCGGGCTACACTTGACAACCCCCTCGGCTGCCACTTTCATCGCCATGAGACACTCAGACCCCTCTGAACCCTTATCGTCACTTGTGCTGGAAGAGGGGGCAGCCGCGTCCAGAGCCGCAATCGCCATTGAGGGACACACAGCTGCCGGCGACGTGCTGTGGGTGGCAAAAGAGGCGAGATTGACCTCATTTGGCCGTTCCAGTGTCTCCCGCGCCGATTCCTCTTCCCCGCAGCCCAAAGCCGACACTTGTTCTGGAGGGGGTGGCTCCTCTTGCCCAATGCACTGCGCGTCAGATGTCTCGACGCGGGACAAATCGTGGGCGTCATCGGCGGCCGTCGTGATGTCACTCCCGGGTGTCCCCTCAATTGAGACAGCCGCCTCTGGCGTCTCTTCTGGCTCGCCCCCGCTGGCCACCGCTGCCTGTTCTGGCCCGTCCGCTGGGTCGGTCGCTATATCGAGGATGGGCGCGCTGGAAGCCCCATGCTCTTGTGGCCCCCTAGCAAGAGGCTTGGGCCGATTTTTCACACCACGAGGCGACTCAGGGGCGGCCCGCCTTGGACTTGGCTTGTCTTCAATGACCTGGTCGTCTTGTCTCACAGCCAATTTCGGCTTGGCCACCGATTGGACAGAGCTCTTGCCCTGACACCAAGACAAAAGCCATCAAATCATAACATATATCGGCTCAGAAATCATGCTTGTGCAACGCGTCGTCTTACGATGACAAAGTCGAACGCAACAGGCGACGGGCGCCACTGCTGGGATGAGCTCTTTCTCGCCTTGGCGCCATGCGTCCTCCTCCCTGTCCGCTGCCGGTCCTGTGCTGGGCGCGGTGATGCCAAGCCGACGCCAGGCCTCTCAGCATGACGGCGCACTCGCCTTGTCTTTGGTGGGAGGCGAAGGGTGGGCCATGGAGGGGATGTTTGTGCCGGCTGCTCTGGCAGCGCACGGTTCTCTGCTGCCTGGCAGACCTCGGCTGGCCGGTGCTGTGGGGCCACAAGGGCTTGCATGATGGCACAGCTGAGTTTGCGCTCCTCCAGCTCCCGGCGAAGGAGCGATGCCACGTAGACGATGTCGGGCACTGGACCCTTGCCATCCATTGGGAGCCGCTCGACCTTAGCCAGAGCCGCAGCCAGTTCAGTGGTGTCTGACAACACATGTATGTTGCGTGTATGCCCACAGTGTCTCACACAAACAAGGGAAGTGAGCCTGCTTTCCTCTTTTGAGGGCATACCCATGTCAAAGATGTCCTCTGGGTGCGGCAAACATTCTACTTGAGCCCTTGCTGGCCCTCCGCACATTCCATCACTGTCACTCTGAGACTCCGACTCCTCCATTGCAAAGGCGCCGTAAGTGCCACTGTGAGGCGGCAAGACAGGCCGGGCCATCTCCTGCTGCTTCGCGGCTGTGTGATGTGGGAGTAGAAAGAAAGGGAATCGACGAGTGAGTGGATAGCTATCAACGGCAATAATTACGTTTCACGCGCAACGGGGTCTCGGGCACTTCCTTCCCAGGCGCGGACTGCGTACACACCTGCCAGGCACACCTGGCTACCCCCTCTCCATCCGCTGTGCTCCCCTATCTCCCGATCTCTGTGCGTCTGGGGGGAGAGGGGCGGCCCTTCGCGGCAGATGCCGGACCGGCCCTGCTGAGGCGGCGGCTGATCTCTCGACGAAATGTTTGTCAATGCCCTGGGAACTCTGCTGTGGGCCTCAGTATCTCTAGGGGCGGCGTCGGGAGTATGGGCTGCCGGGCCGCAGTCGGTGAGGGGGTTGACAGAGCCCCAGGACGCGAGGATGGCGCGGGTGCTCACCATGAGAATCGTCGACAGGGACTACCACGACGTCACAAAGGTCAGCACGCCAGAGCAAAGCAATCACTTTCACGCTTCTCACAACTCTCTCTGCGGGGGGTGTTTGTCTGCGTGTGATCTATATATCAGTCTGCGAAGGCTTACAAGAGGTTTGCGAAGGAGCTCGAGAACGCAGTGGCCCGGTCGCTGGGCCTCATCCCATCTGAAGTCTTTTTGAGGGACGTCAAACCTGGATCCGTCATCGCCGCAATCGAGTGAGTCAGACACAACACGCCACAGACATCACAATGGAATCAACCCTCCACGCCTCGCCTGTGCGTTTGGTATGGTATTCGGGCAGGATCCCGTCCGGCCCCCATCAGGAGCGCTTCGACGACTTCCTGTCCATCTATCGGTCGGTCATGTCGGACCCCCAGTCCTTGCTGCGGCAGGCCTTCATGGTCGACAAGACCTTCCCCCTCACCATGACCCTCCCCGCTTTCTGGGACGACGATCCGAGATACTTCCCCAGGCCCACACCCAGACTGCCCACGCCCAAGCAGCAGATCGCTGCCCTCCCGCCGCAGGCGGTCGAGGACACCCCCGAGAGCCGCCCTGTCCACTGCAACATTGGCCACGAGTGGGGACAGGCCAACGGCTCATCGGACTGTGGATCGACCAGGGCCGGCAGCGGCAATGGCAGCGGCAGGACAGAGAGGAATGTGATGCTGCGGACGGTTGGGGTGAGGTCAGAGGAGGCCGAGTGGCGGGAAGACAGCGCAGGAAATGCTCACAACGGCAGTGGCGAGACGAGGGAGCGGGATGAGTCTTCTGCCGTTGTTGAGGGGCGTGAGAGAGAGGAGGACAGCACCATCGACGTGCGGGTCACTGACGAGTCGCTGGAGATCACCACAGAGCCCACCAGAAACGAAGACACAGCACGTGGCAATGAGAACAACAAGAGAGACAAGGGGGGCGTGCAGCAGCAGGAGAAACAGAAGCATCATGCCCTCATGCAGCCCGTAGCCACCGCCAACCGCACCGAGACGGCTCCCTTCCCCTCCCTCCCTCCCAAAGCAGACAACCACAAGGTGCCCAAGCCATCCACCGACCACCACCGAAGGTCGTCTTCAAAAGAAGAGGGGCCGCCCGGCGGGATCCCTTTCTGGTTCTACCCGATCGTGGTGGTCGTCTTTGTGGGCCTGCTCCTGTGCTACCTCTCCCTCCACATGTTCTACCACAGACGGGAGGTCCAGCGGGCAGCTGCCGCGGCTGCAGAGCAGCCCGCATTCACCGGCGCCAGCCAGTGCCCCGCAAGAGTCCAGTGCCACCACTGTGGCGCGGCCAGCAAGCCGAGCAAGTCGGCAAACACGGGAGGGCTCTTCTTCTGCGGGCTGCACAAGGCCCGTCCGTCTCGGACCAAGCGACTCACTGGGCTGCCGAGGGACCCCCCACTGTACTGCGTCTCTGGCGAGCAGAGTTCCCGCGTCAAGACGGTCAGCACCATCGCCACGCCCGCATCCAGCCGCCGCGCCGATCTGGACGAGATGAGCACGGCATCGATGCGACAGCCCGCCCCCCGGCTGCCCTTTCTCCCCGCCCGCAGCGAGAGCTCCATATCGGCTCTCATGAGCAGCGGCGCATGGACGGACGCACACACGGGCAGCGCGCGAGCCCGCGACGAGTGGCACAGCCGATCGCGGACACGCCATGTGGGATGGCGCAGCCCGCAGGAGACGACGGCCTCTCGGACGTGCCACATGGGCCCTAAGACGAGCAACGAGCTGGTGTCGCCGTTCGGCCAGGCGTCACCTGAGCCGGTCTCGCTGCCGCCCTCGCGGATGGGCAGCCGCAGCATAGGATGGGACCGGGGCGGTGGGTGTGGGCGGAGCAGGAGCACTGAGGAGTTCCCAGAGCTCTGCTGGGTGCCGCAGGAGAAGTGGTGAAAGAGATGATGAGGGGACAGGGGTGAGGGGCGGGACGGGGGGGAAGGGGGGAGGGAATTGCGTGTTTTCTGTCTGTGTGTGTGTGTGTGTGTGTGTGTTGTGTGATGTGTGATTGTGTATGTATTTATCCACCTGTGAAGAATGAGGTGTCCGGTAGGTACGGTTGGTGCGTGTTGCCTTGCCTGTGGTTATTTAATATCGCGTGCATACGTAGAGGATGGTGCTACCTGAGGAGGGGAGGGGCGGGAGGGGCCGACTGGCTGGTTGGCCTGCTGTGCGGTCCACTTGCAGACAGACCGACCGACGGATGGATGGATGTGCTCATCTTCCTCAAATGGATGGACCAGTATGTGACAATATGCACACGTGACACGCGGCGGCGGCTCTCTCTCGTCGCCCTTTTCTGGCTGTACTGCTCTGCACTGCTCTCACCGACTCTCTCTCACACACAACTGGCTGACCCACACACGCTCATTGACCTTTTTTGTCGTGGTTGGCTTGTTAGTCGTGGCGAGTTTGTTAGGCCCTTGCTGTCCATGCAGCTATCACCGTCTGCCTGCCTGCCTGCCTGGCCGTCTCTGCGACTCCTCTGTATCAGACACACTCTCTATCTCTCTCTCTCTCTCACACGCACACACACACACACACGCTATCCCGTTCCTACCCAGAAGTCTTTCCTTCGATGGCTGCAGACTCCCCACATGACTTGCTATTCGCAGCCTGCCTGCCTGCCACTGCCTTAGCAGCGTGACCCTTTTGTGACGGACGGAGATGCCCACACAGACGTACGTACACGGACGAAGTGTTTCGCACATGCGTCACAGTCACTGCTGGTGTGGCTGGCTGGCAGGCAAACACACACATGATGCTGCAGCTAGCGGGTCTTTTCGCGTCGTGTGATGTGATTTTTTCGTCGGTCGGTCGCTGGGGGTGTGGTGGGGGCATCAATACTGTGTGGGTACGTATTGTTATGGATGGATGGATGTGTCCGTTTTTCCTGTGTGTGTAAATGAATGATATGTGCAGTCAGTGATGTACTCTGTTTAATCCCTTACTTTAGCTAGTGAGTGACGTCAAGACACACGATGAGATGACACACACATACATATATACTCAATAAATACGTTCGTTGTGCGGGCGTCCGTGTCTGGTTGTTCTTTTTGCAACGAGCCTGTGCAGCGGTGAATGGGTGTGAGTGTGGGTGTGGCTGTGGGTGTGTGGATGATGGATGCCTGTGGCTTGCGCTCTTCTGACAAAGTGTTTCATACGTAGTCTGTCTGTCTGTCTGTACCCGATAAGTGTACGTATGTTTGTATGTGTATGTGTGTGTGTGTGTGTGCCCTGCCCTGCCCTGCCTTGCCTTTGTGCTGTTCCTAATACATAGATTTCTCTCTCTGTGTCTGCCCCCTCCGGTCGACTGTTTGATGATTGATAGAGTGTTCGTTTGTTGGTCTGTCTCTAATGCACACTGGTCCATAGTAGATAGCTATGATAGGTAACGACACACAATACTAAGTGGACTGACTCCTCACTCACTGGCTGACTCCCTCTCTGGCCCTGGCTCATTCTTTGCGACCGACTGACTCGACTGACTCCACTGGACTCGCCCACCCGCTGTGTGCACACTAACATACAGAGACTCCATAAAATACAGAGACTCCACACACGAACGATCAATGAACGGCTGGACACTCACTCACTGCTACGTAACCGTCTCTCTCTCCTGTCTTATCCACGCACATCCTCCCTCACACAAAGGCCAGCTCTGCTCTCAGCGAGAAGTGGTCGGATGGGAACTCAAGGTTCGGCGCCCCCACATAGCGCCAAACGGCCCACCCTGCCACACACACAGCATTCACCCATGCATGAAGCACACCACTGTGCACACGGCCACACTGCTGTCAATGAGCTCACTTGGCGGCATGCCCAAACAGCTGATCGGCCGCAACCCGCCAGACACCCAGATGTAGTCGAGACAGTCAGCAAACAATGGGCCCTGACATGACAGACACCACACACATGCATCACACTCACAAAGAGGCTCCGCTCCTTCCGGTTTGGGTGTCTCTGTGGATTTGGCCGACCGTGTGATTGGTGAAGGTCGGCTCTCGGCCCATCAGGTTTGCATACACCGACGTCAGGCCCATGCCCTGCGACGGCTTCATCATATCGGCCACCTCCTCACAGCTCATCCCGGCATGATTTGTCAGCAACTGGAACAGAGGCGTGCTTCCCAGCAGGCGTGTGCTGTCGTGCTTCCAGTCGATGCAGCCTCGAGAGAGAATCGAATACCTGACAGAAACCACGATTGCAGAAAAGGCGTTTCGTTTTCCTTACTTCGTGCTAACCCTGGATTAGCCCGCGAGCCAATCTGTGGGACGGTGTTGAAGTCGCCAACGAAGCACAGGGGAGTCTCCTTCAGGTCGACTCCCCACTGTGTCGCGCACTCGGCAATCGCCCCCACCATAGCTGAGATCTGCAGACACTGCCGGTCGGGCCTCAGCCAGTAGTAGTGGATATGTACGTTCGCGAAGAGCAGCAGCCGCCCGGACCTTCTGCACCTCAGCATCAGCACCTGCCCCACATTGCCGCCGGGCAGCCCGAGGGCCTCGATGTCATCCTCGCTCACACGAGTGCCGGCCAGTCGCCTTGCCACCTTCTTCACCCGCTCATCCAGGTCGACCGTCGCCTTGTGCTCGACGGTGAAGCGGTCGGACCTCACGGCCGTCAAGAGACCTTCCTTGCACTGATGGCCATAGCCCAGTGTCTTGGATTCGAAGAATAGATCGCCGTATCCCTAAACACACCATCACAGCGCGTGGCGAAACAGGGGGCAGGGGAGCGTTGTCCGTCACCATTTCTTTGAGTGTCGACTGGAGGTGCCTGTCGAGCACCTCCCGCTGGACCTCCTGAAAGCCAACCACGTCTGCGCCGAGCGACTTGACCTCTACGTGCACACGCAGCCAGCCAGCAGACAGCAACAGAGCATTCACTCATCCATTCATTCACTCAGTCATCCGCACCTGCCAGCACGCGGCCGAATCTCCTTTGTGGACTCATCGCTTTGGCTGCACACCAGGGGAAGTCCACATAGGCAAACGGCTGGTGCGCCTCCTTCACATAACTTGGCGCCAAAACATTGTACGAGCACACGGACACGAGCGTCTGGCTGTCGGCTGCAGTGGCTGCATCTCGGCTGCCGATGGTTGGTCTGCACCGCAGATGGGAAGTCGGGTCACCTTTGTCCTCGACGGCGTCGCCACGGAACAAGGCGCGAATCACCCGCTCAATCAGCGGCTGGATGACAGTCAAAACCAGCGCCAGCCCGAACCGGAGCGGCCGCCGAGTTCTGGTGCTCACAAACAGGCGGAAGGCGTCCAAAAGATTCATGGCACCTCAAGCTCGTGTCCGAAGAACGTCGTCTACATCAACATGAACCACACGCACGCACTCTGCAAGATGAATGCGAAAGCCACACATTCATTACTGCATGGCGCGCCAGTCGGCTGCTCACACTCACCGTGGTCGATGGCCTCGTTTGTCCTCCCGCAGGCATCTTGGTTGGCGGCAGCCCTCCTCCCCCGCAGCTCATCCATCGTGAAGACCCATTTCGACACATGGGAGGCTGGTCCCAAGAACGGGGCGACACCGAGGGACTCCTCACACATGCATTGCAGCCTAGATCAGCCACCTTCCAGGCCAAAAGCTCGCAGCCTCGTGAAACCTTTCTCAGCCACCTCTGTTCCTCGCCGTGGTCCTCGAAAGCCAGCGATAAGGAGGCTGCAATTGGGAGGTTGTGTGACGACGCATAAGATACATGCGATTTTGAATAAAAAACACAGGAATGTCTGGCCATGTCCGTCCGCATAAAGCGGTCGCACCTCAGAATCGCTCTGCCCATGCATACCACACAAAGTGCAGAAGGAACGAAGACATGCATGCATGTAAGGATATTAACAAGGTGGCACTCACACACCGACAGACAGACAGACAGACAGACAGACGCCACGCCAGGAAGTGATGATTCTACACCAGTGTCATACTCATTGACTGAGGAAACACATCACACACACTTGACCGACCGACCAACTCGCTCCCTCTCTCCCTCGTCACCCATCCCATGCTGAGGCGCTGATGAGTGGACTCTCTCTTCGCCCTCCCTCCATTGTGTTGGTGTAAGTGTCTGACGCAGGCAGACACTTGTGCCGTCAGAAGCTCCACCGTCGGCCGGGTTCAGTTGACCTCGCTATCGACAGTGAGTGGCTTCCTGCCGATATCGTCCTTGTCGGCGAAGTCGCCCGTGGCCAGCCAGTGTGCGCAGCCGGGGGGCAGATTCGCTGCCTTGGCCTCGTACCTGCTGAGCTGCTCGGGCGTCAAGACATCCTGCCAGCGATTGTTGGTGCCCTGCAAGCACACACACAAAGAGGGAGAGAGCGGTGTTTGGTTGGCCCTTGTGTGAAGCGCAAAATCGCCCCTACCTTGTGGAAGAAGACTCGTGCTCCTCCCTCCCACAACGACCCGCCAGCTGGGGCGAAGAGGTGGGCATACTCCCTCATGTACTCAAACGTGCAGTGCTCAACCTACACACAACATACATAGCACACAGACAGACACTTTTGACACAGGTCAACCGCGGCACAGCTGGAAGACGTGTGTATGTGTGTGTGGCATCTATCGTACCTGTTTCTCGAAGACGGTCTCATCGATGGGGATGCCAAGGAAGGCCGCCACTCGTCGCATCTCTCCTGGGAGGTCCTTCTTGAGGTTGTTGAAGTGCACGAACAGCACGTTGGGCAGGCCTCGCAGGTGCCAAAACGATTCGACGTTGGTGAACAGCGACCACCACGGCCAGCCGTCCCTCTCCCTGCGCCGACCACACCCACACGCAGACTGAGTGCTGTGTTCCGTGGGCCGCGCCGTGCCGTGCTAGGTCCTACCAGGGGTAGCAGGGCCAGCCCTGTGACAGCCACATGTCGAAACTGAAGGAAAACAAGCAAGATAGATAGATGGACCGGGGTGTCTGTGTATCCCCCCCTCCTTTCCTCCCTCCCTCCGTACGCTTTGGAGTCGTTCATGTCCTTCAGATCCCTCCAGTGGACCCAACGAGGCCCAACGCGGTCAGCAAGCGCGTCGAAGCTGTCACGAGTCTCATCGTTAGTATTTTTCCAGTGACTGCAGCCATACGCAGACACGCACAGAAATATGGGTTCTCCTTTGCCTGTGCTGCGTCTTTGGCTCTGTTGAGCTCACTTAAGCATCGACATGAAGGCGTCCCGGCCATCCCGCGCCACGTAGATGTACTTACACTGCATCCACCGCAAGCACACGACGAGAAGAGCACGTATCATCTTACCGACCCATCCCCGCGTGAGTAGCCGACCTGTGGCTGGATGGGCAGTGCGTCCGAGGGAAGGTGTGTCTTGAGGCACCTAGGATGGGTCTGCGCCTCTAGGGCTGCCATCTTGACCTCTCGTGGCCCATCCGCTCTGAAGTCAACCCACGGGCTGATCTCGTGCATAGCCTTGCCACCGGGGATATCCCCACCGTTGAATAGCAGCTGGCAGACTATCTGCTGCATCCACGTGGTGCCACTCTGGCGGACAGACAGACAGACAGACAGACGAGAGCAGACCGAGTGAGTGACTCGAACCGGGTGATGCCAGATCTGCTCACGTGGGTACCTTGTAAGCCGTACAGACAATCACGTCGGTGTCGCGAGGCGTCCAGTCATCCCAGTAGGTGCTGTCGAACAGGACGCTGAGGTAGGTGCGGTGCCGCTTCTTCAGATAGTCCTCGTCCACACGAGTCCAGTCAACAGACGGCCAAGTGACCTCAGGTCCAGTCATCAGTCCAGGCATGATGGCCAGAGAGGAACAATGGAGGGAGCGAGGCGAGATCTCTTGCTGGGAAGGCCAGTTCACTTCGCACGGACTTCCAAGACACACACAAACTATTCGTGTGCTCCTCTCAGCTTCTCGTTTCCCATTCTCCCTTCTCTCTGTCGCAGGCCTCGATCGCGGAGCTCGAACCCTAGACCTGATTTTAGGGTCTGATCCCCAGAAAACGTCCCGGAGAAACCCTGGACTTTCGTGCGAGCTTAAAGACTTTCCCGAAAGAAGACCGAAGGCGTCTCCCAGGGGAGGACAGGCGCGAATAGGAAGGACCGGAGGGGAGGGGAGAACTTTCAGCCGACAACCACGCCATTACGCCATGACCAGCCACTGACTCACGCATGGCAACAACCACTCATCAGTTCTCCCCTCCACTCCATCACCGCTCCAGCCTCAAGGCCCTCACACGCAGCCGGCCATCCCTCCCATGTATCCAGGCCCCTTGAGCACTCCACAGCCATTTCACTCTGACCAAAGACGCAGAAGAGATCTCGCACCCGAGGATGCCCACCCGCAGCAGCAACAGCAGCAGCCGCAGCGGCCGCCAGGCGGACCTGCATCGCCGCCTCCCAGGACGACGACCGAGCCGCGGCCCATCGTGAGAATTCCACTGCAGTGATTGCTCGTGTGCTTGAGTGTATAGTGTTGTGTTGTTCTGTTCGTGTATCTGTCTGTCGTTGACAGGTGCTGCACGTGCCGACAGCTGCAGGGCCTCCCGAGTTTGTGCTTCGTCGCACGCTGAGCCGCCGGCGTGATCATCAGGGCTACTACACGGCGTCCTGGCGGGTCATCAGCGCACCAGCTGAGCTCAGCAGAGTGGTGCGTCGATCATTCACTCATTCACTCATTCGTTCACTCACATCTGTTGTGTGCTTGTGATTGATTCACTTATTGATTCACTGATTGACTGCTTGATTGATTGATTCACTGATTGCTTGATTGCTTGTCAGCGTGCGGTGCCCAAGGCGAGCGGTGATTTTCGCGTTGTCCTTCACGACACGGTCCAGCGACAAATTACAAGCCTACAGGTCAGACAGTCAGTCAGTGGGTCAGTCAGTCAGTCATGCCGACATACATCAGCATCAGCCACACTTCACAATCGCGATGTGTCTGTTCGGCTATTGGTCTGTGCGTGTGGTGCAGCGTCATCTTCGGTCCGAGCAGGACGAGGTGCTGCATTTGAGGCGGCAGTTGAGCCGCCTCCACAGCCTCTATAGGTTCATGGAGCGCAAGGTCGGTGCCCTCGCAAGGCAACTCACCACGGAGAGAGGCATACACCAGTCCATCCTGCTCGGACCAGCGCCAGACGAACGGTTCCAGTTCTACTCCAGCACTTCAGTGAGTATGACGACACACACACCATGTTTGTGCGCATGTTGGAGGTTTGTTGCTGTGTGCAGCCGTGGAACCCTCCGGGTGATCTGCAAGACGACGAGGGCAGCGAGGAGCGAGCCACAGTGGTCCACAGGGATGATCTGGGAGACGTGTCCGACCTCTCAGAGCCCTCTACCCAGCCACAGCCGCAGCCCCAGCCCGGTCCCAGTGGGCAGCCGCCCCAGCCACGGCTGCCCTTCCCCGTCCCCGCACCGACGGAGGGCACAGGTGGCCCCCCACCGCGGACCTTCGTTGAGAGGCCCATCCTGCCGATGCGCGGCCCACCGCCACGAAGGGACCCTCCGACAACGGCAGCACCAGCGGATGTGTCGGCTGGCTTTTTGCCCGAGCCATCGAGGACAAGTCCCCCGGGACCGTTCTTGTCGCCCCCGCGGCCCTCGCCCTCCTCAGGCCCCTTCCCCCCACCAGCTGAGCCCCCGCCCCCCTACTGGAAGGACGCGCCGGCAGAAGAAGAACGCGCAGGGCGGCTCACTCCCTCTTCTGCAGCAGCGCCTCCGGGGCCTGTCGAGCCCGTTCCCCGCAGGCCGCTGTTCGGCTCGCGATTCGAGATGAGCGAGGAGGAGGAAGTGAGTCTGGCGCTGGAAAACATCCGCATCCCGCCGCTGCCGCGCGAGCCGGACGTGCAGATGTGGCCACCGCCGCCACTGGATCCCTCGTCTGCTGTGAGGCGACCATTCGCACCGCGACCGGCACCTGGCTTGTATCAGCAGCAGCAGCAGCAGCAGCGGACCAGCCTGGCGCCAGGGGGGTATGTGGAGGCCAGGGGGAGGGCACAAGAACCCCCTGTCCTTCGTGAGCCACCTGCGCTTCGCCGGGAGGAGCCGTTCTCACTGTTCGATCGTCCGAGGCCGTCTTCGTCTTCGCGTGCGCCCCCAATGGCGCCAAGGGAGTTCGCACGCGAGGCTGGGGGTGCGTCCGAGCGAAGAGGTCCGCTGCAGTATCGTGAGCAGCCGGCCTACTCGTCGGCAAGCACCGCCTTGCCAGCCCCGCCTGCGTCGCGGCCGACATATCATGTTGTTGGCAGGTCAGCAGGGCACACACAGCACTCACTCACACTCACCACTCGGTCAGCCAGCCAGTGGCACACACATAAATATTATATTCTTGCGTAGAGCCGACAACACGAGGATATTTTTACCGAGGCCTCAGGACGCTCTGGCCCTTGCTTGCCTGTCCTGTAGGTTTGATGGGCAGACCGAGAATGAACTCAGTGCACAGGAAAGCGACCAGGTCAGTCAAGTCACTCAATGGGGGCGGGAGAGGCACCAAGGCGATGCATCTTGGTTGCCGTGTGTGTGTGTGTGTGTGGCTGTCAGGTTGAGATATTGCAGGTCGATCCGTCGGGGTGGGTGTGGTGCTGTCTGGTTGAGAGCCGCGGAATACCCCTCTCGATACGGCAGCAGCGGACGGGATGGATACCGCTGTCAATGCTCGACTTCGACTCACCATGACTCATCGACCGATTGAGGGATGGGTGGCATTTAATTTCTTCGTGCCTTGCTGCCTGCCTGCCTGCCTGCCTGTTTGGCGTTTTCTTGATCGACTGAGTGCATTAGTGCTGACTTAATGGGGGTCACAACACGCGCACACTCTCACACAGACAGACAGGTAGGTAGATAAGATATATGCTGCCATGTACAGTGCGGTAGTTGGCTGTTTGTCTGCCTGCCTGTCTGCCTACCTGCATGCATGCATGTCTGTATGTCTGGCGGATTGGCTGGTCGGTGAAGGAATGAATGTATCTGTCACCCACCAAAAGATCAGCCCACTCGACGGGGAGTGAGTGGGGGAGGGACTGACTGAATGAGGGCAGTAGCCACGTGTGAGTGATTGGATGGATGGATGGATGGCTTCATGTACGTTTCTATGCATCTGGCTGCTTACTGTAAGTAATCCCTGCACACGGCACTTGCGGCCAATGTGCTCAGGGACGGTACGCGGACTTTGCTGCCTGCCGCCTGTGTGTCCGTCTGTCTGTCTGTTTGTCTGTCTGTCTGGCCATGTGGGCTTTTCTACAGGTCGCGTGTTGTGGTCCATCCATCGTCACTCACTCCCTGTCGCCGTCTAGAGCTCTCGTAAGTGTGAGTTTGTCATGCTTGTCAGTCACTTTGTCTGGGTGTAGTGTCCGTCCGTCGTGGGGGGTGGGGGGAACACACTGCCTCTTTTTCCGCACAAGCGTGTGTGTGCACGGGGGATTGCGGGGGCTGTCGCCCGTGTTTGCACGCACCCGTGCATGCTGGGCAGTGAGCGATTGAGTGAGGCACACAACACCCCAACGCCCCGGGCGCTCCCTATTTTTCTGCCTGTGCAGAGGCGCGTGGCTGATTTCTTCTGGCTTAATCTTAATAATAAGGAGAGAAGCGAAGGAAATGTTTAGGCCGTGGTGGGTGTGTGCTGCATGCATGTGTCCCCCCCATCCCTCCGGCCATGACATGAATGAGAGAGACGTCACGAAACACCAGTGCGGCGGACGCAGCACTTACGTACATCTTCACACACACGGGCTGCCGTGACGTGGGCTGGGCATGGCGTGTCTTCTGGGAGAGATCCAGTTGTTGTGTGCATGTATGTCTGTGTGCATATGTGTGTGTGTGTGTGTGTGTGTTTGAATGGTACGATCGTCCTACCGACTTCGTGTGCATGTCCATGTGTCGGGTTGGCGGCCTGATGGGCCGCCTGCCTGCCTGCCTGAATGAGTGCCCCCCCAACTGCTTGTTTGGCAGTGGAGGGGGCAGCCCCTGATGTGGTGTGATGTGGTGTGGTGTGCATGTGTCCGTCCCTGGTTGCGTGTGCCAATGACTGCATCAAGTGGCTCACTGAGTCACTCGCTCGACCATTTATTCCGTACGTCCCTGTCTGTCTGTCTGTTTGTCTGTCTGTCGTGTGTGTCGTGTCCAGTCAGTCCAATCATGCCATCGACCGATTATGATTCGTGCTACGTTACTGTGGGGTTAAGTCCTGTGTGTTTCCCGTCGCGTCTGGCGCGAGTGCCCTAGACGGACGGACCACGGGTGGCGCCGTCCC